ATACAATCAGATACTCAGAATACTCAGACTGTATAGGATGCAGGCAACTAAATATTTGTATCAGAACGCATGGCTGACACATCAAATACAATTTTTTTTTTTGCTGATGAATACATTATATAGTTTGAAAATTACTACTTAAGCTATTGGGTTTCAATTTAGCTGTATGAGTATCTTGTTAATCTATTAGCTAATAATACTCTCTTAATAAAGGTAATACTTCTACATATATAGATTAACTATTTCACAGATCTGATTGAATAGCAATGCCTTGACTCCATAAAATGTCCAGTTTAGTTATCAAGAATAATAGACAGAACAATTTTCATGGATAATTTAAGCTTTTTTTTCTTTCTTTCTACTCAGGATAGCCAGGGTATGGGGGTGTATGGGGTCATTTGTTTGGACTTTCTGCTAGTGCCTGCTTCTGTTGTTGAGTAGTATTGTGCAGTTGAAGCAATATCATTACCTTTCTTCACCGATAAACTCCCCAGAGACATTGTTGATCGGTTAGGGTGGAAAGTGACGTGATTTACTTAGTACTCGGCGATATGAGTACAGTGGCTTATAACCTGTTAGCATTTAGGTATGTATGAACGTGTGGATGGAAGATGGAATAATTGGTATTTCCTAGCTATGGCTCGAGGGTAATAATATACGAAATACGTCACTGCCAAGGCTCACCTTGGATCATCCACAATCCTAAGACTATCAGGATTGTACCCCATTACCGTCATCATTTGGCAATGATGTCTGTTTTTTTTATTGATTTTCAATTACAGACGCTTCTAACACAACCTGTACACTTATTCCCTTTTGTTTTACTCCGCTTTGTTGAGAACTGGTAGATTTATTACTACCCTTGTAGTTGGCCCGTCCTCTTCCAGGTTCCGGTGATGTCCCGCTTCACCATTCCCTACTCCAGTATATTAACCATTCGGGAGATTCCCTAGGATTCGCCGCATCTCAAAGATGAGCCCCGCTCTCCTTGGGATGCCCCCTAAATGGCCAAGGATCAAATGTGTTACAAGACCATAGTTAGTCCCTGATCCGTGCTTGTTTGGCCACAATCGCAACTCCTGAGTTGCCTAATCAACATCAAAACCGACGACTTTCACCTCCCTTTGCAACACAGCGCCTAGGCCAGTACAACGCATGTGCCCTTCTCTCAGTAGACTAAAGTATGATACTATTCCCCCTCCCCCACACAGCCCGCAGGCTATCTATCCTCACACTCTTACACAGCCACCAGCGCGGAACTACCTCCGCTAGCTTCTGCACTCCACAGTGGATCCCGATGGGCTGTGTTGGAGAATACTCGACTACTCGTATAGCGCAGCTCAGCACTGTTTCGCTGCTATCACATCCCAAAAACAAAGGGGACTTATGTTACCGGGCTACTGTGGTATTCTCGAAGGGCTGTGGAAGGAATGTACTGTACTCGTAGATAAACCTAGTGGAAGGAAGCGATATAAAAAAAATGGCCGGCTTGGCCGACTAAGGTTAGTCGAGCTACCTGCACTAACATTCCCGGTATAAGGGCGTTGCGAAGGTTTAGTTTGACGACCTAACATATTATGGGTATCATATTCCTCAAGGAATACCTGAGCATTTGAATCTGGATTTAGTGTGGGCGCTCAGCTGTGCACAGACAATCTGCCATTCAAACTCTTGATCCCCGTGTTTATGTACCTTTTGCCGGGTACTTGTACTCGAGTACCGGTGATGTATCATAAGTGTTTTTGGTTGAGAGGTGCGGGGAAACCGCGTGCCGAGTGAGGTGAGCTATCACGAATAGCCGCGGCGTAAACCACAGTACTGAAAGTTTCGGGTTCCGGAATTTATCTTTATTCGGACATCTTAACATGGAGGAAGGGCGGGGAGTAGCGAATTGTAATTCTGATGTCTTCTTTTTTTTGCAAAATGCCTTGGTTAACTTTCCGGAAACCTTGGGCAGTTTACCATAGGCAGAATTCAGCACAATGTTACCGTAGACAGGATCGAGATGATGAGACAGGATTGACTAGAGCTCTTCTTCCTATCGGAACTACTGGACTTTAAGATAATCGCCAAATATCGAAGCCTACCCTCCATGCCTCGTGGATCGGCTCACCTAATCTACCGGTATTGTCAACTATCGGAGACAACTGGACGGGTCCTTGAAAAAACTTCCATAAAATTTGCCAATCGACCAAAACTGTATCATAGGTAAGAATCTTTATGCATGGTGAATAATTCTCATTAAGCCGGGGGACTGCCTCAATTACAGGCCCCAATCAATCCATTACCGTCCGGTCAACGGATTCGAAAAGAAAGAGATCTCACGGAGTCACCGCAAAAGGTGAATCAAACCTGCTCTCTAGTGCCAAGAAATCTTTCCAGTTGCAACACTTGCGGGCGTTCAGTTAAAGTTACCGTCGATAGGTAGCAATGCTCCGCGATTTCGCTGTGTTTGCAGCAGTCAGTCAGCCTGCCCTGACCGCCTGCCTATCTTACTCACGAGGATTGAATTACAATATTTGTTTTACTAGTACAAGTGCTCGAGTACCAGTGCTCGAGTATGCCGCGCTGCAGGTGAACCAGACTATACCAGCTACACTGCATTTCTACCATTCTCAGCCCCTCCTTCCGCTCCTTCTTCTGAAACCGTATCGTCCCCTCTTCCTCACCACGCCCCCCCAACGCCCCCCACCCCTCCTCCAAATCTCACCCGGCGACATAGCACCTCTTTTGATACAAGGCAGACTACCGTACACACACGCCAGATACACACATCATACGTCCTCAACACACCCTGTTGGTGCTGAGAGGGCACCTGTTCCTTCTTTCTCCCTTCTCTTGCTGCCCCCGAACTGATCTCCAAGCGATCACTTCACCATCTACCAACCATACCTCCACCGCACTCCATCAATCCTCGACTACCGGTATCACGATTCGCTAGGAATCCCAAGCCGGAGCCGCAATCCTGCATCCAGCACGCAAACCCCCACTGCGCTGGAGGTCCCGCATTGACAAAACCTTTATTCCCTTGCAGAGCTTTCTTTCTGTGTTCCTGTTTGATACCCCTGGCATTCATTCATTCATTCTCTTACCCCAACCTGCCGGGCCAATCGTTGCAGGAACGCACCTCCTGCAAATCCACCCAGTCCTAACATACAGATACTTCATTTCGACGACTAGTAAATTATATCGTACGTACCTTTTATTTTTTTTATTTCATTTGACAGGCACATAGTTAGCCATTGGGGTTCCCCGGGGGTGATCTATATTTGCCGATCCTTCTTATTTTTATTTTGCACACGCTAGTAGAGAAGGAAGTGAAGTAGAAGACGGAGAAGGGAAAGGAGTGAGTGGTCCACTAACATCACCTCCCCTTGTCAATTCTTTTTCACCCTTCGTCCCTTCCTTTCCCTATTACGTTTTCCGAACAAAAGTGTGCCTAGTGGGGAAAGGGAAAAAAAACCTTGATTTATTTTTTACTTTTTCCTTGCTGAAGCTTATCCGTTCTCTTTGGGGTTGCTACCGGGCTTCATCCACCTACCGGTACGATAGCGTACTTATCATTCCACTTCGTTCATCGCCATCCTCACTCAACCGCACCAAGCCCCTCTTCCTCCCCCCTCCCCGTTCACCCCCCCCCCAAAACCAACCAACCACAGTGAGCACAACCGGATACAGAGAAGAATTTCTAAAGACGGATAGGCCGCCTCGGTACTACAATAGGAACTCGGGATTTTTATCGATACCTGGTGCATCGGTACCACGTCCAGAGAGAAACGATACAATACAGCTTCGCCATTCCCCAAAGCAACGCCGCCCGCCATTGCGCCGGGTTTCCCCTTAATCCAAGAGTTCACGAGAACACACAGCCCTATATACTGCCCCGCGCAGCCCAACAATCTCCCTAGCGACTTGCCTCTTCCGAAGTCTTCCCGATCCCTTTTCAGAGCTACCTTCTCACACAATTCAGCCCCATAATTTACATTGAAGCCCCAACTTCTCGCCTTCTTGCCTCATCTTGCTAAGGAGTTAGAGGGTAGCGGCAACGCTCCAAACGCTGCCTGACTCTCTAGGACCCGCATAGCCCGTGTGCGTTCCTTTGACCTAGAGTTTCGTGTCGGCTTACAAGTGACCTCGCTGGTATGAAATACATTCCGAGACTTTATACCCATCAATCGATTGTCGCCACTTTCCGAGGCAAAACACAGTAGCAGAAGTTCATCACCTAGTTAGCCGGCAGAAGGCGTCCCCCTTATAAGCGAAGAAATCCGAATTCTCTTAGCATCGCTGACCACAACTTCGCTAAACTTGGGTTCAAACGGTCTGAGGGGCTCTTTTGGGGATTCCTGTGTCCCTATTGGTAGGTATATATTTCTGATTTCATTAGAGCCCTCCTTGAGATTTCTAACCATATTCTCTATTCTCTTTTTGTCCTTCCGTGTTTTAAACTCCTTAATGTTTGGGTAGTAGACTACAGCCCTGTGATGCAAGGGTGGGTCTCTGCTTGTCTTTTCGGCATAGTGGACAAATCTTATGGTTCGATCCAAGAACTTGCCTATGTTTACCGGTTCCTCCCTGCCCCGCCCTGATGATTTTCTGCATAGACAAGATATCTAATTTCCCTTCACATCCCCTTCCTTATGCTTATTTCTTCTTGAATCCCTACTGTGGTCTACTCCACTCGATTCACTAGTGTTCATCTCTCCTTTGGCGTTCGGATGTCAATAAATATTCTTTACTTGATTAGCGAATCGGTAGCGGTACCTTAAGCTAAAACTAATTTACTGATAGATGAAATCGGGTTAGAGCGCCGCTTGGACTATCAACTCATCCAACTTCGTGCGATCTGACCGACTCTTCCAATACATTTCTACCCCACCATCGTGACAGCTATTTTTGCACCAAGCATCTTGATCACTCCACTAGTCCTACGCCCTCTCATCCCTAGGAAACCCAAACATCCACTACTCAGAAAATCTAACATTTGAATATTTGACACAATGGCCTCTCCCCTATATCCCCAGCATAGCCGGGCCCCACCAGTAATCACCGAGGACGATGGGTCGAATTCCCGGAATGTATATCCGACACCAAACTCCGCGCACGGCCCGGGGACATTTGATACAAGCCTCTTCAGCTTATCAGGAAGTGGCAACACTCATCTCTCTGAGCGTCCGCAACCGGCACTCCCTTCCCTCCAATCCTCAACTTATCCCCACACGAACTCCCCATTATTGCCGACTATCAATCAGCCTCTCTCGAATCAAGGGCACTCGCCTTCACTGACTAGTGGAAGTAGTGGGCTTTCTCCAGCAACAAGCCAACACTCTTACTACACCCATAACATAGGTCTAACCTGTTCAGAAGATCCCTCATCAGCACTATCACCCCCCGTAAGCTTTGTTGTTGACCCTGGCTCATCGCCAGAACGAGGTCTTGGCCCCGGTTATAGTGTGGATACAACACCTGGTTTCGATGAGGTCGATATGCCACCACTTGCTGATGAAAATACGGCTCTTTATGGTGATGAAGGAATTGACCCCTTGGATCAGCTATCTGATCCATATTCTCCTGTGAACGGGAGTCTAGGGATTTACCATCCGCCGAGCCCCCGGCCAACTGTTTCCCCTAGTCCAGCGGGGCTAACCGCCAGTAATCCTGGCGGCTTTACGGGTGTGAACAGCAATTTCCGCAAAAGCCCGGTAGTTAAAGTGGAAGAGTTCACACCCCAGGACAATGGAGTGCACCCAACCCCCTCTTCGCGTGCCATGACCGGTTCTTCTTCGAGCTCAGGAGCTGGGGCTGCTCAGGGTGGGGACAACCTAACTGTGAATAGAGGAGAAGATGGGAGCTGGAAAGGCGGATTGGACCCAACTGCAAGGCGAGAGGTTGAATTAGGACTTGGGGATCTCCCTTTTTCACTTAAGGAGCAGGAGATAATACGAGGGATTGAGGAAAAAAACGCCGATATTGAAGACTGGCTTAGTAGGAATACAAATCTTTCTATCAAGCCAACTGACAAGAGACGATCGAGGAGTCTTGCCGATTTCCGAAGAAGGCCAATGGTGCCACCGAAGAGTAAAGACGATTGTGTCCGACCAGGCGAGAGTAGTTCAACAGGAGCAGTCCTGTTTGACGAGGACGACGATACAGGCCTACCCGGTGCCTACGACTATGAGGACGACGATTCTTCGGTGGCTTCTTCGTTCGTTGATGGTAGTTTGGATGACTCACCGGAGGATCAAGGTTCAATGGACACGAGCGAAATTCCCCCTTCGGAATCAGAATTGATGAAGACAGCGGAAGAAGAAGAAGCGGAGCAAAAACGTCGTGAGAATGACCCCCAATATTATCCAAGACCAAATCAGTTTTACTCAGCGCACCCTTGGAATGATACTGTTGCACAAGTCGGCAGGGGGGCAGCGATTGCATCCAGGAACCAACCCAACACCGCAAACGCAGCAATCACCAAGTTCTATCGTTATGCCGAAAACATTGAGACAGCATCCCGGGTAGCAACATTTGGTAGTCAGATGAGCAAATCCCGACGCCTAAGTGCTGGTGACGCCGATAGATTTCTGGCGAATGGGTTGCTGAAAAGCCTGAGTTTTGGAAGGGATAAAGATAAGGAGAAGGAAAGGGAAAAGGAAAAGGAAAAGCAATTGAATCACCAGCGAAGACCCAGTATGTGGGGCACAATACCTTCGAGATTGAAGCGAGGGTTTAGCAATGCAGGCGACAAAGAGCGGGAGAAGGAGAAGGAGAAGGAAAGACTTGGGACCGGTTTAAGCATGGAAGGAAGGAAGAGGGGCAACTCCACCACATCGCTCGCAAGTACAGCTAGCCACGCATTCGCCCCAATAAAACGAGGGAGTAGTTGGGCAAAATCGGCTCCGAAGAGTCCATTGAAAGTTGATACAAAGAATATTGGCGGTGCATTTGCGCAAATGGCTAGCATGGCGGCTGGCGCCGGACAAAGTTCAGCTCATACAGCGCACACTGCGAGTACAGCTGGTATAATCAGTCCACCAACCCGGTCATTAAGCGGAGGATTCATTGCGCAAACAGTGAAAAGGGCAAGAAGCAAGAGTGACATATCATCGTCGAAATTGCAGAAGGGAAAGCCAGTCTTCGGCATTGTCAGTATGCTGGGACAATACGGAGGGCCGCCGGCTCTTCCCATAAAGTCACCAGTACAAAGTGCCGAGAGCGAGTCTCCAAGGAGAAACTATACATTTGGGGAAGAATCTAGAAAACGTGGAATTGCTGCTGCAAAGTTGCTTTGCCCTCCGGACCCACATAGACATGATGGTTACGATGACGACGACGATAATGATATGGATGATGATGATATGCAAAATAGCCAACAAACCACCCCCCCTGGAACCAGACCGCCTTTACCAAAACTCGATATTACCCCCAACCCTGAGGGCTTCTCTCAGCATGTCCGCGGTCTCACGCCAGCATTGCATCCGAAGCTTGTCGATAGAGTCGTCTATGAGCAGGGTAAAAGATTCAAGAAACTCGTCGAGCATAGACAAAAACATTTGGCTGCGATCAGGGGCGGAAAAAGATGTGGAAATACGACTAAGTGCAGGGGCCCTGTTGGTTCAATTGGTCCGGGTGGTGATCCTTCTGCCAATGGGCATAAGAGGAACACAAGTGGTGGGAGTGGAGAGGGGGAAGGTTCGATTGCCTCTATCATCCAACAAGATTCCTAACATGAATTCTGCTAATGCGGCCTCCCAGCTTACTCTTCCGATGAAACTGTTGGTGACGGATCGCGCTCTCCAACCGAAGGCAAAGTTACCGCAACACAATTCCCACCGGGGGTTCCGCAACCTCCGGTCTTGCGCTTGCCGGCCGAGTTTGAGTGCCCGATCTGCTTCAAGGTGAAGAAGTTTCAGAAACCATCCGATTGGACTAAACATGTTCATGAAGATGTCCAACCTTTTACTTGCACGTTTGTGGAATGCACGGAGCCCAAATCTTTCAAGCGGAAAGCCGATTGGGTCAGACATGAAAATGAACGACATAGACACTTGGAGTGGTGGACTTGCACGTTACCCGACTGCACCCATACTTGCTACAGGAAGGACAATTTCGTTCAACATCTAGTTCGTGAGCATAAGATGGCGGAACCCAAGGTCAAAGCTCAGAAAGCGGCCGCTAGGAAGGGCAAGAAGGGTGTTGCTGGCATGAGTGAGGGTGTGCCCTCACACGAGGACTTTGAAAAGGTCTGGCAAATCGTTGATTCCTGCCACCAAGTCACAACCAAACACCCTACGCAGGAGAAGTGTAGGTTCTGCGGAAATGTATGCCCGACGTGGAAGAAGTTGACTGTGCACTTGGCAAGGCATATGGAGCAAATATCACTCCCAGTACTTGACTTGATAAAGGATGATGCAGTGGTACCTCCCAGTGTCAGGCCATCAGCTGCCAGCAAACGTGTTCAACAAAACAGCGATTCATCTAAACCTGAACCTTCCAAACCGCCACCGCCGCCGCCGCCGCCGCCGATACAGCAGCCGGATATGGAGATGGATATTGATCCTGCCGATACGACGCAAAGACAGCTCACTGGAAACGGGGACTGTGATGTGCTCCCACCACCACAGTTCCATTCCCCAGATGCTTCTACTTTTGACATGAGTCCTGCACATCTGCAATATACCCCTCCACGTAGCTCACCAAATGTGGATGATCGATTTGGAATCCAGACACCGTTGAGGACCCCGCAGTTTGTTAGTCCTCATAACTTCAGCCCAGAACAAAACCTGCGAATGCAGCAGCAGCAGCAGCAGCAGCAGTTATCAATGGGGACTAACAGTGGATTTGATTTTTCAAATAACACCGGCCGCGATATCTATTCATTAAGCCCACAGCAGCAGCAACAGCACACCCCAACAAGCTCAGGGGTAACAACACCGCAGAGAATAGCAACCCAAGCCGGCGGATACATTAATGTTTCACCTCCGCCTCAGCCTGGTTTACAGTATCCACAGCACCGCAGCCCTCTTATACACCTAGTTGGGCAACAGCAAATGGCACAGCAACCACAATACTTTGCATATGGACACGCATCGGGGCAGGTTCAAGGTGCCCATGGACAGATCCACTCGCAGACAGTTGCACATGCAAACGCATACAACTTCTACCCCCAACTTGAGCAGAACGATCTCGAAATTCCTGGGGCAGCAGTTACGGCTGCTGATCCTACAGACGATTACATAAATGTGGCATATACAGCATCATGAGACCTTTGGGATTGTTTCCGAGTGATTTTGCAAGTATTTCATGTTTGCATACTGATAATATCATCGAACACTTGGTGGATTCCTTTGCTGATCGATCCCCCATGGATGCTCAAATGGTTAAAGTTGTTTCCGTTTTAGTTTTCTTTTGTATTCTGTTTTAGTTTTCTTCCGTAATCTATTTCTAGGAGTGTGAAGGTCGCACCACTCGGCGAAGCTAGTTTTCTGATCGGGTTTTCTATGTTTGCCCTCCGTTTATTTCTCCAAGGTCGTCTAGTTTCGAGAGTACGTATCATTTGCTTTTGTCGCAGCATTCCCCATGTTTTTTCTTTCCTTCTTCCCCAGATTTTCTCGTTTGGCCCATTCTTCTTCCCCAGTGCAATAATCATGCGAGCACAAGGCTACGAAAATACCGTAGTGTTTTGAGTCATGCCCGATTCGAGGGTTACGTGTTATGGAGTTTCTGGCACATGGGCATGATATGATGAGACCTTTGAGCTACTACTCGAGTTCACCCCCTGTTTAGTGATTTCAACTTTGAATTTCAAAATATGTTTCCGGGTCCTTTTCCAATAAGCGATTCTCCTTTACATACTTCCACAGTCCCGATTAATTTCCTTTCATGACATTATAATGATGATATTTATTTTCACTTCTCCGGAGGGAGCCCCAGAGTAGCGTAATACAGTAGTAGGGCTGGAAGGGATCGGGAAAAACACATTAGTGATACTTTAATCGGCGCACCGGTGGAATGGGCTGCATTTTACTGATCACACTTGGAGTACGAGACGATGCGATACACACACACAGTCTGCCTCGCGGCGAACCCATCGTAGGCAGATTATTACTGGTAGGGCGGGCGAGAAAGGTGCGATATGCTTTTTCGAAGGATAGTTGGGCCAATTATCGGCGCTTGGTTCTTTGAGATAGGGTAGTTATAACCATAGCTCATAATACCGGAGGGCACAGGATAGTTTATCAGATCTGTTTCGCCGCCTGCCTCGCACAAGTCCGCATAGAGACGGTAAGAAGAGGTTAAAACTCACGGTAATAAAGTTAACACACAATCGTACACACACAATCGCTCAATCACTCGCTCACCCGCGCATACACACGGACTCACACAGGTTATTCAAAACTTAGCTACAGGAAAAAAGAGTGAAGCGATGTGATGCACTATGATACACCACGGAGAAGTACCGGTATCGTCGGAAAGCAGTAAAACGGGCGCGATGGGCTACTGACACGGTAGGCCTGCCAGGTGACTTTGAAATTGTAGGGTACTCGTACCGTAAGTAAGTACTTGTACTCGCACTCGAGTACTCGTACTGCACAGTAGGTTGGGGGAGGGAGGGGGGTTCGTGCGAGCGAGTGCGCGAGCCAGCCGGTTGCTCGACCAACCGCCAACCTGTGGGACAAAGGGATAATTTACATACCGTTACCGGCCCCAACAAGCCAAGGAAGGAACAAGAGCCCAAGCAGCCGAGCCCGACCAACCAAATAAGTTCTCTCCCCCCCAGGTATTCCATGGATGGACCCGACCGTGAGAATAACTAACACACAGAACACGGATGCTGAATCATTTTCTGTATTATCATTATGTTATTTCGCCATCACTACTGTTATCCATCTATCACAACAAGCAGGACAGCGGGCAAGCAATACGCTACGTTGCTGCTGCAAGTAAACAGATCAATCAGAATGATAATAACTGTATCGGGTATCGGGGAGCGTAGAAAAGTAGAAAATAGCAGGGTGGAAAGATTTGGTTTCACTTGCCGTGGGTGGCATTTTTTTGATCGCCTCAAATGGTGCGTTGGGACAGGGGGGTTGCGCGCACGCGGGGGGAAGAGAGGGAGGGGGTGGGGAGGGAAGGGAAGGGAAGGGAAGGATAACTCAGATTGAGGCGAACAGAAAGTGATAGTTGTGGTGTGCACATCGCGGTGAGGAGGGAGGGAGGGAGGGAGGGAGGAATGAAGGGCTAAGTGAGTGACTAAATGCACAAGATAGGGAAAGAAAAAGATTACGGTGGTAAAACAGTGGGGGGGGGGGTTATTACTTTATCACTTGTATTGTTCCTGGGAAGTGATAAAGATTTCCTCTCTTACTGTAGGTCAAGTTAACGGCGAACTGCGGTACTGGAGTAGAGTATATTATTCCTGATGGATAAGAGGAGGAAAGGGAGGGAGGAGAAGGGAGGGAGGGAAGAGGATAAAGTTAGAGATAGACTATGCGTGTGCCGCAGAAGTAACAGTGTGGTTTAATGGAGGAGTCGAGATCATCACGTGCAGTTATGAGGGTATGATAGCTACTGTAGTCGTACAGTACAAGTACGAGTAGACTGCTCGTACCAGTTGAGGGAGACAGCGAAGGGAGAGAGAGAGGGTTAGGAAGAGTGATGATGATGGAATGGAGGGAAAGGGGGAAAAAGTGGGGAGGCTATTATTTTCTTTTTCCTCCAACTTTTATGGCCAGAGAAAGCATTCAGCATTTCATTTTTTCTTTTTCATGGTTGGGATTCCTTTTTTGAATTTCCTCTCTCCCCCCCCTCCAGGTCGAGCCAGTCAATTGGCTAGAATCGAGCCCACTCGAGGCGAACCAGTTCTGGTGGAAGCGGGATTGAGGTGTCTGATGAGACTGCTGCCTAACAAGGCCAACCAATGAGGATGTGCTAAGGCGAATGGGGCAAATACGGCTTGGACCTCCGCAGCTGCGTCAGAATGTTGCGAAAAGTCGGGAAAAAGGAAGGGAACGACGGCGCTCTCGCATGTTCGCTCACTCAGAATCTCTCTTTTCTCACTCTTTCGAATGACTCTCCCCCCCGTCCCACTCTGTCTCCACACTCTCTCCGAAGACCCATTCTGGTTTTCGCGTGGGGAGGGAGATGGTCACCGCATGACCAGGGGAGGGAAGGGGGAAACGGAGAATTGAAACAGCTGGAAATCTAACTTAAGAATTTATAAATGGATGTGAAGGGGGGAAAATGAAAAAAGGGAGCTACGAGTAGAATTTGGTACACCATTTGTATGAGAGCTCTCGCTCGGCTTGTGCCGTATGATTTATATTGCTGTAGGGTACCGTGACTGTAGTATCATACCGCATCATACCAGTACGGTGCTCGAGTACTGTGCGAGCACATCTCACACAACCACCTCTGCGGTCTCCTTGCTCCTCCTGTACCCGTACGGTGGTGGTGCGGTGCAGCAGGCAAAAAAAAGTCCTACCGCCCTTGTCTTATGCGCATCGTCCTTCCGAGTGGTTCGCAAATCCGCGCCCAAACCAACCCACTCCCACGCTCCCAAACACCTAACCACTCCATACCATACCTCCTGAACTCAACAACTGCTCCCACTCACCTGCTTTGCTATACAACTGCACCGTTTTTACACATCCAAGAAACCCACCTCTCTGCAGCACCAAGACCTCAGTCAGCATAGAGCCTTCTCCTGCTCCGCTTTGCTCCGGTCTGCTCTGGCCGCTGTAAGAGAGAGAGGGGAAAGAAAAAAAGGAAAAAAAGAGACCGTTGTTACTGTTCCTATCCCCCCCCCCGCGCGCGCGCTGTTGCCTCTCCTACCGCGCCCCGTGAATCGGGATTCAATCGATTGCGGCTCCGGCCTAGGAAATGCTCTACTTTGCTGCGGCAGCGACTGGATACTGCTGCCCCCAATATCGCCCTCGTGGAAGTCTCTTTCTCTGCAGGGAATCCGCCTAATGATACCGGAACAGATCTTTCAAGTATCTCCGCGAGCCGTACCTTAACTCCATCCTGAGACCCCGCCCCCCTCCCCTCCCCCATTCTCCTAATCCTACTACCCCCCCGCCATTCCCGATCACACTTCGTCATTGATACCCACCCCTCCCTTCCCGCCCTGTGGCCCCACTTCCCTTCTCCCTTCTCGGTGCTGCTTCTCGGGTATAACCCTTTCGTCCCACGATAGTTCGCCGCTCCCACCTCATTTCCGCCCCGATCCCCGATATAGCTTGTGGGTGACGAATTACCCTTCCTTACCCGGCTATCTTTCTTTTTGTCACTGGAACTTCTTAACTTTCAAAGTTCTTCCTGCTAACCAATGCTTGAGGGGGGAAGGGCATATATGAAGAAGGCTGGAAATAATTGAAAGAAAGAAAAAAAAAAAGAAAAAAAAAGAACCCTCAAAGGAGAAAGAAAAGAAAAGAAAAAACACATTAAATCAGAGGAACCTCGTGAGCAACACAAAGACCCCAGTTACCGCTTCTGTATATGTATAAAAATCACTAAGGTGAGGTTTTTGTCCCTTTCCGTGTTTTATGTGCTATTTATGATTCGCTACCTCTTTATTTTTCTGCATTATTGAGTCCTCATGATAGCCTTCCTCCCTCTCTCTTTGGTCCAGATTTGAAGTATGGTGAAGATAATTACTTATGCTAAAAGGCAGTCTCTCTGGGTCTTTCCTTCTCGTACTTCTTCACGGGGCCCAAGCCATACCCAACACCGAATACCACTACCAAAGAACCCCCCAATACCACTTTTTCATTGAAAAAGAAAAACAATGATGGCATCACATACCTCCAACAGCATGGAGATAGACCAGTTTCCACACCCAGCTTCAACGAACAGTTCTCGTCGCTTCGAAAATCTGCCCTCCATCGGAGCCGTGTTCAAGGACCTTCCCCCGCTCAGCAATAACCCCGTCTCGGGATTCTTCGGCACTGGCCCGGAATCAGAGCCAAGGGTTCCCGGGAGCCTTCCGCTGAAAAAATGGGGCCCCTCCGACTCTGATCGGCCGCATTATAATGTTCCTAAACAGCAGCATAATCAACTTCATAGTTACACCCGACAGCATCACAATCATCCTTACTTTCAACAACCTGAGAATTCTAGCCGTTGCCATTCACAACACTTACAACTAGGTAGTAGAACTGGTAGAAGAAGCGGGGTGTTAGAAACCCCATCGCAACACTTCTACACACAGAAGTCCATTGACCGTGGCAACGCCCGCGAGCCAGAGTATTCATGGGGAGCTGAGCGAGCAGCGGCATTAGTCTCGGGTCCAGGCCTACATGGTGCATCTACGTCAAGCCACGTACAACAACGACACCAGCAACCGCAGCATCAACAGCAACAGCAACCACCACTACCACCACCCCCTCCTCCTCCTCCACCGCAGCAACAACGAACACACTGTCCATCGCAACCACCACCTCCACTGTCACCCATCAATTCTTGGGCTAACGGCAATAGGCCAGAACATTCTGGGTCGCCGCAATTGAGCCCTACAGTCACAGAGGGGTATTCGCCCCTTTACAGCGTTAATGACTCGGACGCCGGGAATGATAAATATTCCGAAAACGGCGATTCGCTATCAGACCTCACCAATAGTGTTCATGGGGATTCGTACAGTCACACTGGGAGTATCGGGCCGCCCTATGTAAGGCAGTTTTCTTGCGCGAAATGCAAAGCAATATTCAAATGCGACTCACTCCGTAGGTAAGAATTACCGCATTTCATTCAAATGTGCCAACTACCGATATCGCCGGCCCCCCTTTCCACATCCCCCATATATATATATATTTTTTACCCTTTTTTTCGCTCCAACGTGGCAGCCGCAGTCAGCCCGGAAGATGAAAGGAAGAAAAGAGAAAGGGGGTTTAGACAATGCACGATGTCATGAGCGAAGAGACCCTCTCTTCGCCTCTGACTCGTCGGAATACTTCGGGTTCTTGTTTTGTCTCCTGTTTTTCGTGGCTGATAATGTCCAGGAAACACGAGATGAAACATACGAAGCCCTTTAAATGTCAAGTTTTAGGTTGTAAGAGAACTGCAGGATTTAGCTCCGTTAATGACATGAATCGCCACATGAACTCCGTTCATAGGAGGCATATATCAGGCCCTGCCGTGGGATACGACTGTCAATACGATCATTGCCGGGATAACGGGAAGATCTTCTTCAGACTGGATAATTTTAGGAACCACCTAAAGAAAAAACATGGGCCTAAGGGACCGCAAGATGTATTGGAAGAATTTTTGAAGAGGTATGTCTTTTACCCTCCCTTCCTCCTATTTTACTTCATTTTTCTGCATTTTCTGTGCGAATTTTTGCACTTTGGTACAAATACCTTGACACCTCGCTGGGGATATCATCGCTCGGGGGAAAGGGGGTCTTAATAACCCCCTTTCCCTTTCCTTCATCCCGTCATTCCCCAAACAAACAAATCAAGAGAGTGCAGGAAGTAACGTCTATGGGGAGCGGTTTTTTCTCTTTTTTCTTTCACAATAAAGAGCGGAAACCGAATGCCGAAGGACACATTCCGCGGATTTCATGGGCCCCCATTCCCCTTCGTCGAATCAATTTATGGATACACGTTCGGAGCCTGGGCTTTCTGATGTACCGAGCACCCCGATAGCCACGGACAGCCCCGGTCTTCCCCCTGTCTCCCCCACTTTCCGGAGGACCCCACGTGAAGCTTCCCAAACTGTTGCGCAGCCCCTGGCCCCAAGTTTCCCCTCCATATCGGAGTCTAGTTTCGGCCATGGAAAGCTAGCTCCCCTTGCTCCCAAGAACCCTGTGCAAGAAGCTCTAGATGCCGGTAGTGACGATCGAATGGACTTAGATTTTGAGGAGCCCGTCGCCAGAATTTACAAACCAAACTGTGTCAAGCCAAGCGGAGGACCAAGTAGTAATTCTACTGCCAATCCCGGAGCAAAGGAGCCTGAAGCCACTCTTGGTAATAACAGATCAATGGAGAGAAAACGGAGGATAAGTGAGATCGATAAGTTGATTGAAACGCTAACCTCGGAAAAGGATAAGCTGGTATACGAGGAACGGGTCGAATTCGGTAGAAAGAGTTTCCCCAGCCAATCCCAGAGGGCGCCCCAGGACTCCCAGACCGCTGTTACAGGACCTAATGGGCCCAGCTCTAAAAGGATTGCCTTGGGAAGGATTGAAGGAAGCGACCCGGACCATGACATGCATGTGGGCGGTGAACCAGGCGTTGTTACAGCCGATTCTGAGAGATCAAACACCAGCCATGCCCTTCGAGGCTATATCCAGCAGGCAACTACTCAGGACCCATGGCCAGGGAGGTGGCTCGATCCCAGCACAGGCCCCCACAGCCCGGGTGCAGCGGATAAGGACCGCGCCAGCGCACTCTCTCCCCAGGGGACCATGACGGTTTCTTCGCCGACAGGGACCACTGCGGCCACGGAAGTATCACAACAACCACACCCAGCCGAAGGTCGGCTGGGGCTTTCGCCGCCCTTGGCCATGGGATTGCGAGCTCAGCGTGGGGCGATATCTAATAAGCAAACAGGCTCCAAGTACGCCGGCAATACCGCTCAGTTGAGGCTTGGCCCTGGACCCGGTTCAGGATTGCAAAAAGGCCCTGCAACCTGTCTGGTCTGTGCAAAGACATTTCACAGGCCAAGCGAGTTAAAGTAAGAGCACTGCCATGATAATTAACAGTAAAAAAAGGGGGGGTTATAGTCTATGCATATATAGGAATTATACCTGGATAACCCTCCCGGGTTATCCAAGGGACTGCCCCCGCACAGTAAGGCGATACTGACAAGTTTTCCCAGGAAACACATGAAGCGTCACTCACGCCCGTTTGCCTGTACCTTCCGGGGATGTGGAAAATCATTCGGTTCGAAGAACGACTGGAAACGTCACGAGAACAGCCAGCACTTTCAATTGGAACTGTGGAAATGCGGGGTCATCGCTCCCAAGTCCACCAGTCTTTGTGGTAAACTTTCGTTTCGGAGAGAGTCCCATATCACGCACTTGAAGAATGCACACAACATTGTTGATAAACAAGAGATTCAAAAATGGACCAACGAAGCGCACATTGGCCGTAACAACTTCAAGACATTCTGGTGCGGCTTCTGCTCTAAGGAGAGGAGGGATGGGTTATCAATAAAGGGCTGCGTTGTGCAATTAAAAAAGAAGGGGCTTGATGGCTGGGACGAACGGTTCGACCATCTAGGGAAGCACTTCGAGGAGGGGAACCATATCAAGGATTACACGTTTCATGAAGACGATGTGTTTGGGGATTTGCAGTCTACAGAGGAGGACGACGACGACGACGACGTAGACGATACCAGGGAAGAGGACGATGATACGGGCGAGGAACGGCCCATAATCGAATCCACGGCGCCGCCCGAAGAGGAGAAGGCAGAGAAGTTACAACCTTCCCAATACACCACACAAAAGGAGGAGGAGAAGGGCAACAAGAGGGAGAAGAGATGGTATTGTGTAAGTTGTGAAGAAAAAGACCTACATACAACTCGCCCACTTCCGCAAACTTCTAACGTTTTACCTTTTGGTTACTCTAGTGCAAGCATAATGTGGGGCGATGTTCCGATCCTGGCCCGTATACCGTGGGCCTAACGGATTCGTGTATGGAGTGCTGCCACGAACGATGTTCGGCATGCTCGATTGAAGAGAGAGGATAAAGTAGCCTTGTGGTTTTCACTATTACTCGGTTTATTCCAATGGGTTTAATGTTTTTTATTCGTATATCCCTTTCCCGCGATTGCCATCATTACCATTTTTTATTGCTTTTTTCACCCTTTTGTTTTTTCCTCCTTTGACCTTTTCGCTTTACTCGAGGAGGATGGTTCGAAGTAAAGCTTGTTGTATAGTTAGATTTTCTTTCCTTTTTCTTTTTCTTTTCTTTCTTCCCCTTTTCTGTAGCAGCGAAAGGTTAGAGGTCATTCGATCGGAGTTTTTCATTCCCGAGAAGGTGAAGCGAAGCAAGGAGAGGGGGAGGAAACAGGAGGGGTAAAGGGGACAAGTGGAAGCGTGAAAAGCAGGGGCGCGGAGGATAGTAGGATAAGAGAGGCGGAGGAGAGGGAGGGCTGAGATAATCACATGGCATCACTCGGACCTAATCAGTGTTCAGACAAATGAACACAAACTCGCTCGCTCACTCACTCGCTAACACACTTACACCACGTATCCTCACTCACTTTTATTCCTTACCCACCCACCCTCTTCTCTTAATGCGTTCTTACACTCCCTACCCACCTAATTGTATACCGGTACTCCACTCCCACCCGGTCGGTAGGGCTAACAGCCAACGATTGGCGGGGGTGGGGAGGCAAGTTGGATGAAAAAAAAAAAAAAAAAAGCTCCTGACAGACGCAGAGAAAGCCCTGCAAACCCAAATGGAAGAAAAAAAAAGAGATTTCCCTTGGTAGCAACCCCCTCCTCAAATCCCAGTCCATCTCTATTTTAATTCCCAAACACGTCGTGTCCGTGGATGAAGGTGCTCAATAATAAGGGTCTAGAGATGCAGGAGAAAGGCGTGCAGACGTAAAGGAATACATTTCTCATCGACGTGCTAGTAAATCTATCTATCCCTTGGTCCGTCGTGTGCTGCGCCCAAAAGATCTACCGGTAGTTGGGGGGGGAGAAAGCTAGATCTGGAGGGTATACTTCCTTAACTGGAAATAAATTTACTAGAGTTTCAAAGTGCGATCTATTCAACCGATTTCTTGAGCGCTCCGATAGACTGAGGGATGCTCGAGCACAAACATGGGGGGATAACCGATGAGAAGCGGAGTGGAATGAATCCCGTTAGTCAAGTCAAGCCTGAGGTCGCGACATAGCTTATTTTTTTTGTTCTTTTAAATTATTATTATTTTCTTTTTTTTTTTTTTTTCTTTGCCGATTTCTCGGTTGCCAAACCAGATCATGGTAAAGTTATCTACGGGGTGATAACTTGGTGGATGGGGGTGGATGGATGGGTACCCAACCATCTTATCCCATTCCTTGGCTGAGGCGATGAAATAAAAAAATATAATAATTAAAATTTCAATCCGAAACGCCGGATATCGATAACAACCACAGCACTCTATACTCGTAACGATATCGCACAGTTCAGTAACGGTACAGTGCAGAGCAGTACCGTACCTCACTCACTCCCTTTCCCCATCGTCCCATCATTCCCGGGTGCGCAACTACCATACTCGAGTAAAGACTGCGCACCTCAACCTCCCCACCCACCACCACCACCGCTCAAGTACGAGTACCACCACCACACCCCACTTACCGGTACCCCCTTTCCCATCATCATCATCATCATCATCATCAACACACCCAACCCAAGCCAAACGTGCGTGCGGCTCTGCAACGTGTGCGTTGTACTGTCTCCCTTCGCACTTCTCTCTCACACACGCACACACTCACTCACCTCACGTCCTGTACTTCGCACATTTCCTTTCCTTTTTTTTTGTTTTGGGGAAGAAAGAGAGAGAGAAAAGAGCCATCAGTCACTCACGCTCACTCTTAGGGGGGTTCTTCCCATCTGACGTATTACGTTTTGGATGATCGTACAACCAGGAAAAAAAAAAAGGGAAACGGTAGAAGGGGTGGAGGGGGAGAGAGTTGGGTATGTAGGGGGCATTGCGCACATAGTTAAGTTAGCTAGGTAGGTAGGTAGGCAAGTAGGCAAGTAGGCATATGGTAGATAGGTACCGTAGGTAGATAGATGGGTAGGTATGGGGCGCAGCCACGTAAACACTTTTCTCTTGCTTGCTCGCCCGCATAGGTTTGTCCTTTACGAGTATTTTGATTCCATCGGCGGGGAGGGGAGCGGACGGAGGTGCCTGGAGGGTGAGAAAGGCATGCTGGGAAGGGAAGGGAGGAAGGGGAAAGGAATGCAGAATCGGTCGTGTTTTGGTTTTGTCTTGTATTTTGGCTTGAGCGGGGTGGAAGGAGGCTCATGCGGGATCGGTAGGTGGCTTATCGAGCACACAAAAAAAAAAAAAACCGTGCAGAGGGAAAAGACGTGGGATCATTGGAATCGCGTGAGAGCTTGTGACCCACTTTTGCAGGCGAGAGAGCAAGAAAGCAAGCATGTCAATCAGACTATATCTTTTGAAGATTCGCTAGCATAGCATATCATATCGTCATCTACCCTCCCCATCCCCCCCTCCGGATCATAAGTGAAGTAATGAAATACGCGGTAGAATTGTCATGCACTCGTTCCATTCAATCATTCATTCATTCAGTCACTGATTCATCCAGTGTTATGGTTGAGGCTCTTTCAACCATTTCTTCCCCTTCCAAATATCGCGATGCTAACCGAGCGCCCAAATTAATCTAATCCAAGCGGCGGGCCAGTAAACTTCCCCTTTTTCCCTTTGTTCGATTTTGTTCCGATGCAGTGCAGCAATCGAAAGTGCCTTCTATCCTACCCTTTTCTGGCTTGCCCGTCCGTCTGGCAATCTGGGTGCTCGTGTGTGCGCGCTTTGTCGTGTGTGCTTTTTTGTCCAAGAGTCCCTTGCTCGTCGGGGGAATGATGGGTGGATGGGTGGGTGGGTTGAATGGAGCACGGAAGTCCGCCTGCTGTTGCCTAGTAAGTTAGGTCGCTTTTGGTGTGCCTTAATAATATCATGTCATTGGGGTGTTGGAGAGTGGAGGTTTCTCCGGGTAGGTATGGCTATGAAGGGTAGGGTGCGGTACGATAGCTACCGTGGCTATCATGGCTAGTCTGTCTAAGGTGGGGGGAGGGGGGGATACGATGGAAGATACTCCGGTACCGGTAATGGTGGAGAAGTGGAGGGAAGGTATTGCGCGAATGAGGGGCGCATGAGGACAGGTTTTTTTTTTAGGCCTGCTATTGGTGAAGTTCTAGATGTTTTTTGAACTTTCTTTTGGGTCTGGCTTTCCCCCTTGCAATATTGGGTTGGAGATGGGGCTGTTCTATTTTTTTTCTTTTCTTTTTTGCTCGTGAATTTATTTATTTGTTTATTTCGTTCTCATGAGGGGCAGCTCTTCTCCTATGGCGGAGCGGCATTCGGTGGAGGCAGGGCCGCTTGTGTGGGTGAAAAACCCCGTTTTTGGTGTTTTTATTCTTCCCCTTCTTGGCGGCATATCGTTTACGGGAGTTAATTTGTTTTATGAATTATTCATGGGACAGTGAGATCCTCCAAAATTCCAGATGAGATTGAATTGGGTTTTGAGGTAAATTTTTACTGCCTCCTTCATGTTGCCCTAGTTTCAATATGGGGTCGACTCAACACCATGATCATGATTTTGGATGGTTGTGATGATGGTGATGACGATGAGTATGGGGAACGTTTCTCACAGTGATACGTGATCAATAACTGTGATCCTATAGCAATGAGGTATGGTGGAGAAAGGGTAGTAAGACTTAAACAGTTGTCCGTGCTGAACGCAAAAGATCTCAAGAACACATATACATAGAGTTGCAGTAACAGACCGGACGTGTAATAACAATCGTGATGGATGAGGTGTGGACGCAGTCCAGGAAGAAAAGGAAAAAAGGAAATAAAATGTACACAGTGCACTGCGAAGAAGTGGTGTTTCATTGCGCACGAATGCTGCCGAGGGAAAAAAAGGAAATAATAGTTGAACCAGCAAAGGGCTTGCGCTGCAAAAGTTCTCTGGGGAAGGGCTTTTTCAGTGCGCGATTGCATTTTGACGGTGAGCTCCCGAACGAATCATCTTGCATGACAACCCTGGCAATGACCTATGTGAATCCGCTTCGGGTTAAGAGGAAGGAATGATGGAGTGTGAAGAGAGCTCATTAGAGCTAGGGGGTAAGTAACTAGTGTTGTACTACTCGTACAATCCATATTATTCTGGATAGAGGCTCAACAAAGATTTCCATCCCCCACCTGATCCTCTGTGGGTTGTTCCACAGAATCAAAAGTTAATGGCCAACAACAAGCATACCGCTATGCTATGGGGCGGTGTCAACTCTTAGGGAGAAAGAGAGACGGGATTATTGTGCCAATCTCAAGCTCCTCCCCCCCCCCCGAGTCGACAGTAGGTGGGATCAAGATTTCTGACTCGCATTTTGTGCACATTCTCCCGCCGGCGCGGAACTGTTAAGTTGATGGACTGACAGGTACAAAAATGGGCTGTCGGACCCACTTCCTCTGTTTCTTCTATCTGCTACTTTCACGCATCACTTTTCTTTCATCTTCTTACCCCCCCCCCCACGGCGCGCCGCGTTGCCCTTCTCTCCCCGCTGTCCGCTTCTCTCACTTAGCCCACCCCTCCACCCTCCCATCATATACTCGATATCCTCCACCACATCCTCTGCTCGGTCAGAGGCTCCCGCTGCGCAAATTACCGAGAGTGCCATCCTGTTTTAGTACATATAGGATTGCTGCCTAGATTTCCTATAGTCACCTGGATTTCCTCCTAGTCTTGGAAATTAGACTGGAAATTAGACTGTCGAATAGATTTGCGGTTGTCGCACTTGTCTGTTATCAGTAGGTTTCCACCTATACCAGATCTGGGATACCATATAAGCTTCAGGGCTATCATTTTTTTTTTAAAACAAAAACTTTCAATTACACTTTTCTAACATTTCTTCACCTTAGTTTCGACTATACCCTTTCATCAAAGGTGTGTATAATATTTTTGTTCCTGCGGTGTAATGCCCCGCGAGCTCGATCTGTTCGCCTTCTTTTTTTTTTGGCCTTACCTTTATTTTCCTTCCCCTGCTTTTTGATCTGTTGCACAAGGTTATCGTTTCTTCATGCTTCTCTGCATTGAGAGACGAGGCGAGCAATGGAACTATCTTCTGTTTGGTTGGCCTTAGAAGTGTCGTGAAAGCTGACGGATGGCCTGATGAAGTTTACTGAAACAGTACAAATAGCACCGCCTCATCGGTGCTGTTTTATCATTAGTCTCTGCCTTCTCAGGGCGACTCGAGCAAGAGAATAAATAAAAAAACAGCCCTCCTCATAGCTCAAGGCGAGCATGTCTTCCTTTAACACATGGTCGTATCATTCTCCGGTTCAGCCATCGCCCGCGCTGGTTCAGCAAATCGAGGCCTTTGGAAGACTGGAGCCACCTCGAGACAATTACACGTCCTCGTTGACCCCAATTGATCGCTACGTTGAGGACGTACCTACAGGTGCCATAGTCACCCACGACACTCGGAGCCTACACCCCCCCCCGTCACTATTGCGGCAAGGCTATATCGCGTGCAGCAATCCGGGGAGCGATTACCAACGCTCATTGCAAGACCAGGTGGATAACGATTCCTTGTGTAGTGAGAGCAATAATTTATGCTATACTGGTTTTGAAGGGTCTACCGAATCTTCAAGCGGATCTCTCGGGGAAGACGATTATCACCACCAGCAGAGCTCCGCATCAACTAGCCCGGATTATCACGGCTCAGGATTTGAGAAGACTTGGGCCCAGGGGCACCCCTACATGACGCAGGCTAGTGATTTGCATGCGTCCGTGGACCCAAATCTGGCACATGGCGGCTACGTGTGCCTGAAGGAGGTGGTTCATATTTCCCCCTGCGGGGACGACCGGAGTCAAGAGGGGCATAATGACTCCATGGAGGATGACGACGAGAACGGTCTCGGATACCCACAAACCGTGCCCGTCATGTTTCAACAACCAGGTTACGATCGATGCTGTCCTGTTGATCAACCACCTCCCCCAATGGGAGTATTCTCACATCAACACGATCCCTCGCTTGGGCATGGCCATTCTTGCCCCTCAGCGCAAGGATCCAGGCAGAGTTCACCCGCCAGAACGTTGAAATTGAAAACAATCAAGAACCGCCGGGTTAAAGGCTGCCCAGAAATGATGAAGCCATTTTCTGAAGTCTCGGGTGAGGGTGAGAAAGCCCGGAAAGCCCGGGGGGAGAAAACTCGGGGTCGCGGCGCAGGAAAAAAACCGAAAGAAAGAAAGATCTGTCGTGAACACCCTGGAAAAGTGTTTGTCCACGCCTCGGATTATAAGTATGACCCCCCGCCGCCTCCTCACTGTCTAGCAACGGGCTAACCGCAACTTGCTTGACCATCAGAAAACACATGAACCAGCAACACCTCCGACCATTCCTTTGCGTATTCTACTTCTCGGGCTGCATTCAAACATTCGGCAGCAAGAACGAGTGGAAGCGCCATGTATACAGCCAACACCTTCAGATCTCCTACTGGCACTGCGACGATCCCATGTGTGCTGATAGGAAGGCAATCTTCAACCGAAAGGATCTTTTCGGTCAACACATAAAGCGCATGCACCCGCCTCCAGCGGGCCCCAAAACCTCCACCGCGGCCTACATGGACGAAATGATCGAGCGCTGCCGCGTCGAGCGCCGGAAGCCGCCACAGAGTAGTAGGTGCGGCTATTGCAAGCAGACGTTTTCAGGGGCCCAGAGCTGGGAGCAGAGAATGGAGCATGTCGGTCAGCACTACGAAAAAAACAACTACAAGGGAATCTCCCGCGATCGCTGGGTTCCGGATGAGGGCCTTATCGCGTGGTCTTTGGAACATGGCATTATTGAGGATAATGGTGCTGGGGGTTATGCCACTGTTTCCACGGGGAAAGACGCTATCGTGAGGGCTGGGGTTGAGCAGAAAAAGATGGCGAAGAAGGAAATGGCGAGGGCTCTGAGATATCCGGACGATTGTGATGTTGATGATTACGATGATGATGCTGATGGAGATGTGGATTACTGCTAGAGCAAAATAGCTATCAATGCCGTCCCCTCCTAACTGTTCTTCGAATCACATATCGGAAATAAATTATTGGGAACTTTCTTATCTGGGTCTTCCAAATTGGCTTTTCTACCTCCTCCTCTTCCTTGCCTACTCCTTTCATCTTCTATTTTTGTTTTCTGCTTCTTAACGGCCGATTTCAGATTTCTTCTATTTCCTCTTTTTTCTGTCAGCGTTTTCCGGTATATATGGTTGCTTGGTTATAGACGGACGTTTTCTCGGGTTCCTCGTTTCGTTTCTTTCACAAAGGAAGGTAGGACTTGTTTAGGTTGGGCTGGGTTGGGTTGGGTCGGTTGTTTGGGTCGGTTTTTCTCTTTTTTTTTTCTCTTTTTTCTCTTTTTCTTCTTTTTTTTTTTTTCGTCCTTTTTTCCCGTTATTTTCCATCTCAACTGAGAAAAAAAAGGGTCATCTGGAGAAAGGATTTTTCGATTTTTGAGACTTTTTATTCATCTTGTTTTCATTTATCTATCCTACCACCCCTTCGGATGGGTTTATATGAATTCAAATCAAATCAGGTCGAAAGTAGTTGAAAATTTTTTTTTTTAAAAAAAAAGAATCCTCGCTGCAACATGATTTCCATCGCCAATTCTAATTGTTGTATTGTGTGAGGATCTCATTGTCAACCACACATAATTAATGTGTCAACTCATATTGTGTCACTCGGGGCGCTTTCGCGCGCCGAGTAGGAAGAGAGACATGGAGATCAGGGAACTTACCGACCAATTGTCTCAATAAGCCAACCAACACATTGATCCGGAGGCGAGCGGAGGCAAGGGGAGTGGCGGTGAGAGCTACGAGAAATTATGTCAACGATATTATAGCCACCATGATCCCCCCCAGAATCCTATTCACCAAAGTCGAGCAGAAGAGCCTCACCCCGTTCTCTCACCTCCAAGCCTCCTTCCACATGACACAACTCCAGCGACACATGCATACATACATATATACATACATACATATTCGAGTACATACATACATACGTGCTGTCAAAGGCCTCGCACAGTCCACCCGGCGCCGCTACATCACTCCCGAAAGGTTCCCCACAGTGGCGATGTAAGAGGGGAACCCTTGACGAGTAAAAAAAAATGGGCAAGGATCAACCTGCGATATGCCTGAGGCTCCGTCCGAAAGGCACACACGATCAGAAGAAGAAGAAGAAGGAAAAAAAAGTCGGTCTTGGCTACCGCAGTTATGATACCGTGATAACTCGTACCACACGACATGAGTCCGGCCGGAGTGTGCGATAAGATAGAATGGGATTGAGGGAAGATCAAAGGAAAAAAAAAAAAAGGTATATGTATGCACGCCTAGCTAGCGCTAATGTTTTTTAGGCTTTCCCCCATCAATCTCGCTTTCTCCCTCCTTCCCTTCCTTCCCTTTACAGCGTTGCCGGCACAGCACAGCCTTGCGGGCTCCGTCCGGTACGGTACCCCGCTCGGGCTGTACGATACGATACGATAAACTTTTGGTCTTCCTCGTGCGACGTGGCACAGCTCCGGAGGTAACGACGAGTGAGAAGTTGTGAATGATAGAGTGCTGCGTTTGTGTGTGTAAATCTTTTATTCTTCCACTATCTCGCCTACTAATTAAAGTAATCGGAGTACGGCATGGGATACTGCCCCCAGCCCTGAGCCCCCCTCAATGAAATACTTCGCTACACTCCCCTATAGGCACTACAAAACAAACTCCTACTACCTCCTTCATCTACCCCTCAACAAATTTGATCTGTCACAAAAGAAACCCACTCCTGCTCCTTGGCCCCATGGTTGTGAACAAAGTAAATCCCCCAAACAAAAGAAACCCACACCTGCCCCAAGGCCCTGTGGTCGTGAACCAAATAAAATCCATCTAACAAAGAAAACCTGTGTCCATTCTGGCCCCGCAGTTGTGAACGTTAGGAAATTACTAACTGACCAGCATTACTCCCCTGGTCCACTGGACGCCGCCTTTGAGTTTCGGTCCACTATAACTACTCAAAGGCCCTTCCTGACTGGGTCATGCATTCTGGCATGTGCCAGCTTGTGTTGCTTGTCCTGTAGCACTGCTTTCCCACAAATCTTACAGGGTTTGCATGTCTGTGCTTTGACCAGTCTTTGGGTAGGTTGGCTCGTGGGCATGTTGATGCCAGTTCTGACTACTTGTACGATGTTTAGTTGTTGTGTACTGTCATCATTCCTCACCATTGCGGGTTTATTTCACACCCCAGAGGGCCAGCCGTCCATCCAGTAATGGAGTTTGCCTTGTCTTTTGGCATCTTGGAGTCTGACCATTGTGGAGTCTACCACTTCATATCTGTTCGCTAGGTGGTTGTAGGTGATTATATCCTAGTCACATGGGTACTATCTCCTGCCCTGGTTATTTCTTGGTATGGCCATTCGGCTATCACCCTCAGTCCTAGTAGTCTTTTGAAGTCCTGCAAGGTGAGCGAGTGTAGGTACGTATGTGATTCCCTTGGTTTCCCTCTGTACCTGGTTTCTTCATTGGTGACCCTTCCAGCCCAATCCTGCCTTATTTTGTCCTTGAGTGTGTTTTTGCCCAGTTGGTAGTTGCTGGTTGTGGTGATAATGTCTCCTGCCCTGTACTGCGTTACCCATTTCCTGGTCCAAGCATTGTGGCAGTCCTTGGTGTGGGCCCAGAGTGCCTGTAGGTTCTGCCTAAACTGTTTTATGAAGTCGAGTGGTGGAATTCCCAGTTCTGTAAAGAAGGCTAGGACTGGTATTTTCTTTTCTATACCGAAAGCCATTCAGATTATCTTGTTGAGGGCAGTTTCTACCTCCCTTATTAGGCCCTTATTGGCTCATACCTTTATGCTATATGGTAGCTGTGGGATCACCAGGCCTTTAATCAACTGCAGAGTTGTCTACACATTTAGTCTCTCTTTGGTGTATTTGGATGTTACTGTATGTATGTGATGCCTAGAGATAGTGGCTTTATTGATACAGTGTCTGATATAGTAGTCCTATTTCCATTTATCCATGAGGAAGTATTCGAGCCATTGCAGGTGGACTTGGTTGAGCATGTCTTGGTCCACTAGTCGAATCTGGAACCTGTTTTGGGGTGGTGTTTAAATGAAGATTGTTTTGGCTTTGCTGAATATGAATTCATATCCGTCCTTTACTGCAGTTTGTACAAGTTGCCCTATGATCTCATGGTGTAGCTTTTTTCCCTCCTCTTTTTCCTGGTATGTCATTGCCACTAGGATATTGTCCATGTATATCAGGATTCTAGTTTCAGCTTTTTAAGATAGTGTAGCCTGCATCCTCACTCGATTTAGCATGATAACCAGAAACAATATTGGGGATAGTGAGGACCCTTGCTGAGTGCCTTTATTGGAGGAGAATTCTCTGGATGTCCTTCTGTTGAACTAGTAGCTTGTTGTTCTATCTGTGGCCCACTGTCAGACCCACTCTTCTAGGTGCCTGGAATGTTGCTCTAGTTTGTCACAAATATTTCCCATCTGTAGGTGATCAAAACCCACTTGGATATCCAACGTGGTGATGCATTTGGCAGTTTTACCTGTGGTGTCTATTATGTCCTCGAGGGCCTGTATGGCATCCGTAGTACTATAGCTCTTCCCTCTCCCAAACATGTTGTCATCCAGGATTTCAAGCTGGGCTATTCTTATAACCGCCATCCTTTCCAGAGTTTTTGCCAGTATGGACTGGAGTTATATGGGTCTCCAGCTCTTTACCACTGTGCATGACAACCTGTTTATTTTGAGTATTAATATGATCGTGTTGATCTTCCAACCTTCTGAAACTACTTCTTTCTATACCTGGTTCATCATTTAAAGGAATAGACTTTTACCTAGTTTCCTGAAATACTTGAACAGTCTAGTAGTGATGTTATCTGATCCGCTTGCCAGTCCGTTTGATGACTGCTTGATTGCTGTATCTAGGGTCTCTATCGGCAGTGGCTTCGGTTCTCTGTTTATTAGGTACTGTGGTCACCTCCGTTCTCCTCCATACAGGACTGTGTGAATTTCTTGAGCGATGTCCTCATGTTTTGCCACTACCTCTCTGTTCTCTTTCAATAGTGCTGGTATGGGGTACTTGGTGGTTCTGGGCTGGACTGTCCTAAAACATTTGGGGTACATTTCCTCTTGGAGGACCTGTCCATTTGCTTTCAACTTAGCATCGGTAATGGCTTTTTGTAGGGATTTTTTCTTTACTTTTAACTTGGGGTATTTGGAGTCTTTATGTACTGTCCTTGGAACCTTCTTTCTTGTCTGTTGTAGGTCCTTGTTCTAGAAGACCTTGCGTCACAGGTTTCTGAAGGGTGTGTGCCATCTGGCTATCTATGTGAGCTCTCTCTACTCGTCAGTTGAGTGGTCTGCGTAGTTGTCCATAAGGTTGATTTTGGCCCTGATGGCCTCCCAGTCTGCCTTGTCATGTCTAAGTGACCTTTCCCCATTCTCGGTCTAAGTGATGCTTGTCTTAATTGCTAGTGCTGCATGGCTCGCTATGGCCAAGATGATTGTGGGCATCTCAATGTCTTAATTCTTATTGGTAATAACTAGGATCAAGGTAGTGTAATGATCCTTCCTTGAATGGTTAGTTCTTGGTGACAGGGAATGATACTTCTCTTCTCTTTCTTCTTCTTTCTTTGTCTTACGATAGCACTTGGCCTCTGCCTACGTTACTCATAGTACAAGACCTCTGTCTTCTACTGTGAATGCCTATCATAAGCTTTCTCTAACTCTTCTTCGTGAAGAGCTTTCCTTGGCATAACGATAACGTTGCAATAAAGATAAAAATTGTAAAGGTTTTTTATATTCGTTAAAGTAATAAGTAGGAAAAGTACTTAGAACAAAGTGTGAAGAACCTATCCTCCTCAGTCACATCGGCATCCTTATATAGTATTCTTCCCGCCAATAGTCATGTGACCCAAAGTGGTCACATGTGCGAAACCAAATCATAACAAACTAGTCATGTGACCAAAGTGGTCACATGCTCAAAACCCATGACCTCATAACGAGGTCATGTGCAAAAGCTCATAAACTAATCATAACACAATAAACAAGTCATATGACTCAACTGAGTCATATGCGTGAAACTCATGACCTCATAATGAGGTCATGTGCGTAACATAAATCATATGCACAAGGCTTACCTGCAAGGCACACTCGCAAGGCATACTCGCCAGATACACGTCTCATGACTCATATTTGAGCCATGTACGAAAGCATCACAAATTCCACACATAACAAATCATAAGACTCAAATGAGTTATATGTATGAAACAATAACATACCTGTGACTCATAACCATGTGCCACGCGAAAACCTTTTTCATGCCAAGCCACGTTCGTGATATTAGCTCCCCTCTTCCTAAGCCTGAGTCCCATTAGGCTTTTTCTCACAGTTTCAATAGTTCCCGTCCTGCCGAGCACATGGTCCTTCTCAGCTTGTGGAACTTTTCGTCTACCATCCTCCATCTAATTCTTACTGATTCTAGGGTCATATTCGCCATCTCGATCGTGTGCCGCTGATTATTGTTCAGCTGTCTTAGCTTTGCGATTGATTTTATCGTTTGCCGAAATTGTGGCCTTGGCTTGGCCAAGTTGT